GGGTGGCCAATTCGGGCGCCCAACCTCTCCAGAATCATCGAGGCCGGGGGCAGTCGGGGGTGGCTAAAGATTTGAGCCTCGGGGGCCGAAACTGGAGTTATCCCGGACCGCAATTATCCCAGATTTCTCGGGCGTCCAAGAGATCCAAACTCGCCGCATGTGCAGATTCTTCACACGCCTTTTTTCCCTTCTCTCAATCCCTCTCAGTTGCGACGGGCCCCGGGCCCCCCTCTGGCCCCCCCTCGAGCCCCCCCTCGAGCCCCCCCTCGAGCGACCCCCTCTGCCCCCCCCCTCGAGCCCCCCCCCCCCCCCCCCCCCTCGAGCCCCCCCCCTCTGCCCCCCCCCTATCCCCCTCTATCCCTGTCCCTATCACCTATCCCTATCCCCCTCTATAGTTGCCCATCCCTGTCCCCCATCCCTATCCCTATCAGGTCGATGTTTCCCCCCTATCCCAATCCCCCCCTACAGTTGCCCCTCCTGGCCCCCCCTCGAGCCCCCCGCTAGGCCGCGCTGGGCCCCTAACCCCCGAGCCCCACACGTGCCCCCGTGCCACCCCGTCCGAGCACCGCCGGCCCGACCTCGCCCGACCTCGCCCCCCCCGGAAAGAATGACGACGAAACGGAATACCCATCGGCCGTTGAAAGTAGGTATTCTTGGAGTCCCAGGTTCCTCCTCCTCCTCCTCCTTTCTCTCCTCCTCCCCCTGTTCCTCCTCCTCCTCCTCCTCCTCCTCCTCCTCCTCCTCCTCCTCCTCCCACGCTTCCCGCGAGGCGAGTCAATGTCAGCACAGCCACCTTGAATCTCCCCGAGGAGTATGGGAGCATCAGTGCCCATCGGGCGTTGGAAACAGGTATTTTTGGAGTCCCAGGTTCCAATCCACTTTAGGCGCCTTCCTACTTCAACGATCGAGTGGCTTCACCTTTTCTTGTCCTCTTTAGGGCGCGGGCGGACACACAATCTATGTTTAGCGCCATCTACTTTATGCTTCCGCCTGCCTCTTCCGACCGTTGGGTATACAGACGTGCCGACGCATCTCGCCGCGCTCCGAGCTAGCCAACACGTGTGCGACCCCCGAGCTGCGCCCGCGCGAGGCGGAGGCTCTTCGCCCCGCGGGCCGGCGGCTCCGAAGGACGAGAAGCCCGATCGCACAGCAAGGATCGACCTGCGATCCGCTTCCTGCCCACTGGGGCCCCGTCTCTGAACCGCCCGTGCGGGGGCGAGAAGTTTCGGCACCTGGAATCCCGCTCCCGCGCGCTGCTCGCCCGGCGCAGCCCCTGACATTCACGAGGTCCTCCTCCTCCTCCTCCTCCTCAACCTCCTCCTCCTCCTCCTCCTCAACCTCCTCCTCCTCCTCCTCCTCTTCCTCCTCCTCCTCCTCCTCCTCCTCCTCCTCCTGCTCCTCCTCCTCCTCCTCCTCCTCCTCCTCCACCTGGCAGGGGCAGCTCATTTTAGGAGGGCGCGTTGAGACAACGGCAGTCGGCCTTCGGGGGGGCCTCTCATCGCCAGGGCTGGACACTGCTCGGAAACTTGGTGCGGCTGGAGTTGGGGCCCTGGATGGGGTGGCGGCATCGGCTTTGGGCTGGCGTTGTCTCAACTCGCCCTGCTCCGATCACTGTCTGTGTCCGCCTACGGTAGCCGACACGGCGGCGACCCCGGCGCGGGGGGGTTCAAGGTTGAACGCCGCCACTGGCTGTGAATCGGCCAGCATGGAGCGATCTGACGCTGTCGAGAAGCCGCCGATCGTCAAATATTGAGCGGCCCACAACCAACGCCGAAGCCGACGCGGCACGAACCCGCGGCCGTAGCTCCTCCGTTGTGCCTGAAGAGGTGGCCCGCCTCAGCTCCCGAGGAACCCTTACAATCGGACCGAGGTATAAGGTCGAGGTCGGTCAGCGGTGTTCCGTAACATTATTCGTGCTTGTTGGGTGTTCTTGTGCATCTTGGGGGAGGGTGCCTTCGAATGTTCTTCAGTTTGGGCCGGCGGAGGGTCTCATGTTTCTGAAGGATGTTCTTTTGTCCTGGGTCCGGCCGTACCCAGAGTTCCACTCTGAGCCCCTTCGTCGTGTCAGCCCTTTTTGTCGCCGAGATGGGCAGGAGCATTTTTTGTTCCCCTCCCGCTCGTCACCTGGCCCCCCCTTCCCGGGCGGATAACGCTAAGGATCGTACTGGGGGTGGCCTGGACATCCCCCCTGAATGCTGTGGTGCGCATCGGCGATTGATGCGCTGGTGGCGCGGACACACCATGGCGGGTGCACGCCGCGGCCGCTTTTACAGGTACCCTCCCACCCGACCCCTCCCCTCTCCCGGGCAAAGGCCGCTACCCAGGAACGAAAAAAACGGTCGCCAGCCGAACGGTTTCCAAGTCTAGGATGCCGCTGGGAATCCCGAGCGTTCGGCGGCCCATTGGGCTCGTTCTTGGGTCCACTCGGCGGTCGAACAGGCTCAGACGCAGCGTGGGCTCAGGGCGGAGCCCCTGCGTTGTGCTGAAGATGTTCTGGGATACGCAACAGCTTAAGCACAACTTTTCGGAACTCCGAGCGGATTTCACGAATCTACGCTGGGCCTCCCTGGTGGCGCCCCCAGCGCCGCCCCTGGCTCGCTCCGCGCGCCAGGGCGGGACGGCCCAGCACCGATCCGAGAAGCCCGCGCGGAGCTCCGGAAGTTTGTGTGTTGTGTGCCGTTCTATGGTCGCACCCCCTGGCCCCTCTCAAGGGGCTGACGCCACCGTGCAGCCATCCACTCGTTAGATGCTCGTTTGGGGAACCTTCCCAGGGCCCGGCTAACGGATCAGTTAGACTCTGTTTCGATCCAAGTTCGACTCAAGTTCGACTCGGGTGTGATTCAGGCTCGACTCGGGTTCGACTCGGTGTCGACTCAAATCGACGGGCGTTCGACACAGCGTCGTCGCACGAGCGGAGCGAGTGCCTCCAGGAAGGTCCCCCGGAAGGAGCATCCAGCACCCGTGGGTCGAGCAGGGCGTCTGAGGTGCTCGCCCTGCTCCTCCTCTCCGTCCCCCCCTCCCCCGCTGCGTCCCCTCCTCGCCTCGTTCGCAAGCATGCGATGTCTTTGAGCTTCCATGCGGGTCCCCGGCAGTCCCGACCCGTTCCCCAGGGTCGGGTTTACATCTTGAGTCGTGGGTTTGCTGGTCCCGAAGGCCCAAAACTGCCGGACACCTTCAGTCTTTGTTTTTGTTGTTGTTGTGGTTGCTGTTGTTGTTGTTGTTGTTGCTGCTGTTGTTGATGTTGGTGTTGTTGTTGTGGCTGTTGGTTGTTGGTTGTTGGTTGTTGTAGGTTGTTGTTTTCGTAGTCGTAGTCGACGTTGCTGCTGTTGTTGTTGTTGTCGTTTTTGTGTATGTGGTTATTGCTGTTGTTGTTGCTGTTGTTGTCGTTGATGTTGTTGTTGTTGCTGCTGTTGTTGTTGTGGTTGTTGTTATGGTGGTTGTTATTGTTGTTGTTGTTGTTGTTGTTGTTGTTTTTGGTGTTGGTTGTTGGTTGTTGTTGTTGCTGTGGCTGTTCTCTGATGCGGTGTTTGTTGTGGTTGGTTGTTGGTTTGTTGTGGTTGTTGTGGTTGTTGTTTTTGTTGTTGGTTGTTGGTTGTTGCTGTTGCTGTTGGTGGTTGTGTTGGTGTTGGTTGTTTTGTGTCAGTGTTGGTTGTTGGTTGTTGTTTTTGTTGTTGTTGTTGTTGTGGTTGTTGGTGTTGTTGTTGTTTGGATTGTTGTCGTTGTTGCTGTTGCTGTTGTTGTTGTTGTTGTTGTTGTTGCCTTTTGTGTTTTTGTTTGTTGTTGGTGTTGTTGATGGTGTTGTTGTTGTTGTCGTTGGTGGTGCTGTTGTTGTTGTTGTTGTTGTTGTTGTTGTTGTTGTTGTTCTTGTTATTGTTGTTGTTGTTGCTGTTGTCGTTGTTGAGGTTGTTATTGTTGTTGTTGCTGCTGCTGCTGATGCTGCTGCTGCTGCTGGTGCTGTTGTTGTTGTTGTTGTTGTTGTTGTTGCGGTTGTTGTTGTTATTGTTGTTGTTGCCTCATTTTCATCATTTTCGTGAGGAAGTCTCAGGCAAAACGGGTTGGTCCGGATCCGGTTGTGTTGTTACGATCGGTTTTCCCTTGCAAAAAATAAGCTAAAGTGGACATTTCTTGTTCTAACATAACCAAACTTCAAGAATCCCTTGCAAAAAATAAGGTAAAGTTGACATTCGCGCGCGCAAGACGAAATCCTTCCAAAACCCTTAGTTTTCGTAGCGATTTTAACATAAAAACATCAAAAAACCAATGGTTTTTCAAAAAAAATTGTCAAACTTTCATCCCGCGCGCTCTTGCGGATTCGTAGGAAACCCAACACTTTTTAATCATTTCTGTCAAACGGGCTTTTGCGAGCAACTTTTTCGAACTTCTGCAACAACGGTTGCGCACCTGCCAGGGCCATCATCCCTGTCAAATAATACCATGCGGGACACATTCGTTTTTTCTTCGCGCGCGCACGCCGTCGTCGTCGGCCGCGGGGCCCTGAATAGTAGCCACGGTCGTCCGCATGCCACGAAGTGAAGTGTCCGAACGTCATAGGGCGGGAAGCTGGGTGTGGGTGGTGGCGAAGAGTCGTTTGGAAATTTGGTAGAGCTTGAACCGGCCCCCCCACAAAGTGGGGGTATTGCCCGCCTCCTATGAAAACCCTGGCACTGGTGAGAACGGTGTGTCCCCACGTGCTAGTAATTGTTGCTGTTGTTGTTGCTGTTGTTATTGCTGCTGCTGCTGTTGCTGCTGCTGCTGCTGTTGTTGTTGTTGTTGTTGCTGCTGCTGCTGCTGTTGTTGTTGTTGTTGTTGTTGTTGTGGTTGTTGTTGTTCTTGGTGTTGGGTGTTGGTTGTGGTTGTTATTGTTGCTGTTGTGGCTGTTCTCTGATGCGAGCGCACGTCCGGGTGCGTGATTGGGGACGCCAGCCGTGCCCGCATGTGGTCGCGCCGTCGGCTCCACGGGGGCTCGCGCTGCTTTTATCTTTCTTGCTTCTCCTCCCGAGGTGGCCCGGCTCGGCGCCCGGGGCCCCGGCGCTCCCCGCCGCGGCCCTGCGGGAGAGCTTCCACGGGACCGGGGTGCACGAGTTGTCGGCGTCACGCCAGCATACTTCTGCCGTGTGTGCGTCGCCTTCCCCCCCCCCCCCGGGGGGCGTGGCGCGCACCGAGGAATCCTATGGCATCTGCGTCGCGCCGGGCGCCTTCGGGCCACGCCGCTCGGGAAACGATCTGCTACAAGATGGGTGTACTATCATGTTCGGGTCGGACCTCGCGCCTCCCAGGAGGACATGTAGTACCAGCATGTCCTTGTGAGGACGAGGACAAGGAGAAGGACGAGGAGGAGGAGGAGCAGGAGGACGAGGACGAGGAGAAGGACGAGGAGGAGGAGGAGGAGGAGGAGGAGGAGGAAAAAGAGGAGGAGGAGGAGGTGCGTGCAGCTGCAGCGATCCTGGGCAGGCCGATCCTGGGTTCAGGGGCGGTGCGGGTGCCCTCCCCGCCAGAGCCAGGGAGGGCGCGTCCGCCGACCGCCAGGGGACCAGGATGCAGTCGGGCCTGTCCCGGCGACAGCTGGAGGATTCAGAAATAGCCAAAAAAATAGTCTGGGGACGTTTTTTGTTGTAAATCGTATTTTCGACCAGTTCGGCGTATGGTTTGACTAGCTTTGATGTGTCGTCCAAAATAAGATCCCCCTGTAGGAGGACAGGCCCGACTTAAGACCAGGAGGAGCCCTGGCCGGGGTCGGCGCACGTGCCTGCCGGCCCGAGCCGGGAGCGCGCGCACGCTGGTGTCTACGTTTGCGGGGCTGGAACAGATACGCCTCCACCACCTCCTTCGCCCCCCTCCCTCCCCCACGAGAGAAAGGAGGAAGAGCCCCTCTTGGAGCTTGTTGGGGCCCTCTTGGAGAGCCTCTTGAGGCTCTCTTAGGGCTTTTTCGCGGCATCTGGGGCCATCGGGAGACCATCTCGGGCGTCTTGGAACGATCTTTCGGGGGCATCTTCGGCCGCGCGGAGGGCGCCACCAGCACCTTCCGCGCCCCCTCCCTCCCCCACGAGAGAGAAGAGGAAGAGGAGGGAAGAGGAGGGAGGAGGAATGGAGGTGGGGGTGGTTTATATCCAATCGCTTCGCTCATGCCGCCAGCCCGCACTGTGCAATCGCAGGCGCTTGCCTGCGCGTTCGTAGCCTATTGGGGCCTTTGGGGGGGCCGTTTGGGTGCCTTTTCGAGCCTCAGTTTGGGTCTCTTGGGGGCCTCGTGGGGCCTCCAGGGGGCCTCCTTGGCTCTCTTGGGGACCGCCTGGGGCCTCTTGGGGCGGAAGGCTCGAGTTGGTGGTTCGTGTTCCCCCTCTTGGGCCCTTCTTCGGGCTGTCTTGAGAGCTGTTCTTCTTGGGCCTCTTGGGGCACTCTTGCTCTCTTGGGCCCATCTTGTGGGCGTGTTGGCCTTCTGGGACGACGTTGGAGGTCTCTGGGGCGGTGCTGGAAGCTGTGAACCACCAAACGTCGTACATGCGAAACATGTACGTTTCCCGAAGGGAATGTGACGATTTTTGCCTGTTGGGATCCAGAGACCATCTTGGGCGTTTTGGAACGATCTTTCGGGGGCATCTTCGGCCGTGCGGGGGGCGCCACCACCACCTCCCTCGCCCCCTCCCTCCTCCCCTCCCTCCTCTACGAGAGAGGAGAGGAATTGGAGGGAAGAGGAGGGAGGAGGAATGGAGGTGTTGGTGGTTTATATTCTTGGGACCCGCATGCGTTGCATCTTCGGCTGGACCTCGCCTGTCCTAAAACATTGGGCCTTCTCTTGTGACCGAAGCGGGCTCGATGCCGACTCGACGCGGATCTGGCACGGAGTCGACGCGGATTCGACACGGATCCAACACGGTTCCGATGCGTCCGGCATAGATGGCGCGGGTTCAATGCGGATGCGGCCGCGACGGGACAGACAAGGTCCCCCGAGGATGCAACACGACGCCAATCTTCTGGCAGTGACGAAGCGTCCTTGTTTGCCCAGGGTCCCACCAAGGGATGAACCCTTTGTATTTCGCACGAATTGTCCCAAGAACAGTTCTGGCTGAGACCGCCTTGTTACTGTACATGTATATATAGACATATGTGCATACAAATGCCGGTTTCATGTTCTAAGAGTATTTTTTATGCTCTGGGGCAATTCATTTCTCTCAGAATCACCGAGCGCGTTCCGCTACTCGTAGAACGCCTACTCGCAAACTTCAGAAATCAAACGCATGTCTGCCTCGATGCAATGTATCGCAAATCCTCCATGGCGGAATCAGGCCAATGTGCGAGTAGATACTGTGCGAGAAGTGGAACGCGCTTGTCCAAACACTATCCCGTGGCAGGCTCATAGGAATGCTGGGTCGGTCGGTCCTTGTTCAAGATTCTGGGACTCCTTGGATCGCCGCGGTAAACACTAAGGGGATGCGGGAGTTAGAAGTGGATGCTAAAGTGGACTTGATTTGGCCTAACCCAATTTATAAGTGGGTTACAGGTGCCCTATGTGGCTTAGGATGATGAGGTAACTCCGCTAAGCCTAGATCTGTGCGCCCTCAAGCCACTTGGGGCACGTGCAGCCCACTTCTGAGCTGGGTTAGGCTGGATAAAACCCACCTTAGCATCCACATTGTATCCCCCTGTCCCCTTAGCAACCCCCGCGGCCATGCAAGCAGATGTGAGCCCTGGCCAGGGCCGGAATGGCCGTGCAGTCGGCGCCCTCCCGGCAGGAGCTGCCTGCAGCCCTGGACGCCCGCGCGGCGCGCCTTCGAGCGCCGCCTATCGCAGCTGCGGCACCCCAGGTCGGACGGGCGCCCCTCGGGGGCGACGTCAGGCTGCCGTCACAGGGGGAGTCCGCTGACTGGGCGCGGGGACCTGCGTTTCCAGAGCCCCTCGCGTTGTGAAACAATCACGATGGGCGGCTTTTCGCTATTTTGAGCCTCCAGGGGCCCTTACCGGGCCCCGGGACTGTCAGAAACGACTCAGGATGACAAACCGGTCCCGGGGAAGGGGTCCAGGTCTCTGGGGGTCGACGTTGCGAACAAATTGCGACGTCGGGGGCCTGGGTTGGGCAGCCTCAGTATCATTTCACCGACCCCCAACCCATCCTCATCCCCATCCAGGCCCCCACCATCTCAGAATCCCAGTCGGGGATCTACCCCTCGAGCATCCCCATCTGTGGGGATGAATCGGCCAGAGTGGGGCCTAGGCCACGCCCATGGGCCCAGTATACGGGGTCGGTGAAACGATGCTCACAGCCGTTTCGGGGCTCGTGTCGCTCCCAATCATGCCGCCCTGGCTCCCAAGGAAACCACTTGCAGGCGCCGCCGTGCGCTTGGGCTCTCCCGACCAGCGGCGGTCGCGGGCGGTCCAGGGCAACGTCGGGCTGAGTTGGGCGTGGTATGCGTGAGAGTCCTGTCGAGCATGGCCGTCAATTAGCGCTCATAGGCGCTAGTAGCCGCTAGCGTAGTGGTCGCCGATTTGTGGTAGCGTGTCTATTGCATACTCGTGGTCGCTGATGGGCGCTAATGCAGACTCATATGCGCCAATGGACGCTCATAGGCGTTAATAGGCGCTGATAGGGACACTGGTATCTCATCACTCTCACAGACAGTACACAAGGATCGGCTCAGAGGGATGCATCTTTGGCCTCTTGGGTGATCCCTCCTACTACCATCACCACCGGGGATTTACCCCGGGCCCTGGGACCGTCAAAAGACAACTGGAGAGGGTGAACAATCGGCCCTGGGGATTGGGTCTAGTGATCGTTGCCTTATTCATGGTTTTGCCGATCGGCGCGGGCCCTCGTCGTATTCCCCCTCCCCCACGTCGTGGAGTAGATATGTTATATGTTTTTGGCGCCTGTTTCAAGCAGTTGGAGTCTCCCCCATAGGACGCAATGTTGCAAACAGTCGCATTAAGCTTCGGTCCAGAGCCAGACGCCCCCCCTCCCCCCCTTCCGCCCAATGTCGACACGCCGAGTAAGAAAACGTTGGGCGCCAGCGTAGTGGTTGCCGATTCGTGATAGCGTGTATCTTGCCTACTCGTGGTCGCTCACAGGCGCTGGGAGATACTCATGTGCGCCAAGGGGCGCTAGTGGGGCGCGAATCGGCTCTGAGAGGGACACTGGTATCGCATCGCCCTCACACGGCGTACGCCCGAGGGACAGACTCGGGAGACACTCTGGTCTCCTGGGCCACTCCTCCCACCACCGCGACCAGAGGTTTTTGGACCCTCTTCGGCCTCGGGGGGGCCCAACCCCCGTCCTGGGACCGTCAACCGTCGGGCCGGACGAAAGGGGGGAATTGGGAAAGGGGGGGTTACGAAATCTGCTGCATGCAGCGGGTTTCGGCCCCGCCGCCAGGCCCACTCCTCGATACATGGGGGCGCCTCCCAGCGCCGGGAGGCGCCAGGAAAATCAGCCATACGTGAGCCGATTCTCAAGCCCCCCCTTTGCTATCCCCCCCTTCCGCCCGGCCCGCCACCAGCCCGCCACCGGCGACTCGGGGAGGAGGGGGAGGGGGAGGAGGGCAAGTTAGGTGCGCTCGCGTCAACATCTGACATCCTACCCCTCCCTCCCATCCCTTACCATGGCGCTGATTTTCTCTATCCGCGGACGCGTGTCGTAGCGGACCTGTGGCTCCGCGCGCGTGTGCGTAGTGTGTGGTGGTGCGCGTGCGTGCGTGCGTGCGTGTGTGGTTGTTGTGGTGGTGGTGGTGTGTGTGTGTGTGTGTGTGTGATGGTGTGTGGTGTGGCGTCTTGGTGGTTTGGTGGTGGGCCAGGTGCGTACGTGCGTGATGGCGGTGGTGGTGGTGGCGGTGGTGGTGTGTGTGTGTGTGTGTCTGTGTGTGTGCGTGTGTGTGTGTGTGTGTGTGTGTGTGTGTGTGTGTGTGTGTGTGTGCGTGCGTGCGTGCGTGCGTGCGTGCGTGCGTGCGTGCGTGCGTGCGTGCGTGCGTGTGTGTCTGTGTGTGCGCGCGTGTGATGTGGTGTGACGCGGTGTAGCGTGGTGGTGGTGGGTGGGGTAGTGCGGTGGTGGTGGCGGTGCGCGGTGGTGGTGCGCGTGCGTGCGTGCGTGCGTTGGTGGGTGGAAGTGGCGGTGGGTGTGCGTGCGGCGGGGCGTGGCGTGGTGCGGCGCGGTGGTGGCGGGCGGATGGGCGCGCGAGAAAGAGGCCCGCGCTGGGGCGAGAACGCCATCCTGAACGACGGAGGCAAAACACCGATCCGAGAATGAGGCCCACGCTGCAGCGGGAGCACGATTCGGAACGATTCGGGAGCAGAAATGAGGCCGGCGCCTCAGCGAGAGCAGCAAAAACAAAAAACGCAGGCGAAAACCCAACTCCCGGGAATCCTGTGTGTAAAAAACAGTACGCGGGGGGGGGGTCGGCTACTCCCAGCACGCCATCAGGGGAAGAGGGAGAGTAGTATTCATATTGAGTAATTGTGGAGGGGTATGGGGGAGGAGGAGGAGGAGGAGGAGGAGGAGGAGGAGGAGGAGGAGGAGGAGGAGGAGGAGGAGAAGGATAAAGGGGAGGAGGAGGAGGAGGAGGAGGAGGAGGAGAAGGAGGAGGAGGAGGAGGAGACAGCGTGTCGCTATCTCCACGTCCCGGCCCCGGGCCCGCCACCCAGCGACTCGGGATGCAGCCTATCGGCCCCGGGGAGCGGGCCCGGACCTCCGGGGGGGGGGCCCGCGCTGCGCGGCTCGAGGGGCCTCGGGCCTCGGGTTCCTCGGGGGCCGCTGCCTCCCCCCCTCGGCCTTCGCCGCGCGGGGGCCCCTCTGAGGGCGGCCCCTCGCGCCGCCACGGCGCCGGGCGCTCGCCTCGGAGCTTTTTTTGGGTCGGAGCCCCGAGGGGCTCGAGGTCTGCTCTGCGGGCTCGAGCTGCTCGAGACTCTGGGGCGTCTGCGTCGGTCGCCCGCGGTCCTTCGGCTTTTGGGGGTGCTCTCCCGCAGCTGCGCCTCGCCGGGGGGCCTTTGTCGGAGCGCGCGTATCTCCACGGACGGCCGCCAGGGAGCGGAGTTGCGCGACGCGAAAGGCCGGAGGTCAACGTTACGGGGGGATGAGCTTAGGTAGGGGGGGATGCGTCGACCCCAATCGCCAATTCATCGCGAGTAGGGGCCTGATGGCCGACCTTGCCCAGGAACGCGCGGCTTCGCTATCGAGAACTTACCGCCGATCTGCCGGCGATGTATGGCCGATTCCAGATCGACGCAGTTCCTGCCCTGTCGTTGCATCTTTGCGTTCCCCGGCCCACCCTCGTCCGCGCACATGCCCGGGGCCATGATGTGCGAACCCCCCTCTCGCTGGCCCCCTCGTCGGCGCACCCGATCATGAGCCGACGAGCCTTCAGATTGGTCGCGCGGAGCAATGTGCGACCGGATCGATTCGAGAGTGTGGCTCGGCGTTCCTGTTTGGGAACGCGAGCGGGGCAGCAGCTCATTGGGGGCCTGGGCAGGGCGGGTGGAGGGCTTGAACGACCTCCCCCAACCGAGCTTTGGCAAACGTGTGAGATCATGCTACTTTTGTGTGCCTTGGCTGTGGGAAGTACAGCAAGGAGCCTCGAGAGGAAACTGTGGGGCCAAACCGCCACCGTGCCTCCTTCTGTTCCGACAGCACGCATTGAAACAGGGAATGTGCATCTCCTCTCCACGTGATTGTTTTCTTATTCATTGTTTTGCCGATCGGCGCGGGCCCTCGCACCCCCCCCCTCCCCCCCTCATGGAGTAGACCCTGGCTTTTTTTTGGCTCCTGCTTCGAGCAGGTGGAGTCCACCCCATGGGACGCACTGCTGCAAGCAGTCGCATCAAGCAGAGGTCTCAGCCCCCCTCTGGGCCTTTCGTCAGCCGGCCAGGGTGCGCGACCTGGCGTGGTCGGTGCTGAACCCGGGGCTCTGCAGCAGCGCAGACGCCGAGCACGGCAGCAGGGTGTGGACAGACGGACGCATGCAGGAGCTGTTGGGTCCGGGGGTGTGGGACAGGCTCGCGGAGCTGGAACGACGAGCTGGACTCTCGTGCCTACCCGTAGCTGAAAAGACCACGTCACAGAAGCGGGGACGTGCCCTGCTTTAGGGAACTCTGCTCGCATCAGCGTCTTCGGGTGCGCTTAGGTGTCAGAGTCCAGCTCGCGACGGACCTGGACCCATCTCCGCTAGAGTCGTGGCTGTCTGCGCACGAGCGCGCTGGAAGCCGGCTGGTGGGGCTCTACTATGAGTCGCTGCTGCACTTCGCATTCTCGGAGCTCGCGCAAGTAAGGGTGGCGCTCTACAGCGAGGGCGTCCCGACGACCGACCCCGATGCCGCCGATCCAGAGCGGCGGCCCAGGGGCGTGGTGGAGCTCTTCTGATGGGCCAGTTTTCCACCACCACTACCATAGGTATGACGGGGGAGAAGGGAGGACGGGGAGGTCCTCCTCCTCCTCCTCCTCTTCCTCCTCCTCCTCCTTCTCCTCCTCCTCCTCCTCCTCCTTCTCCTCCCCATCCTTCTCCCCCTCCTCCTCCCTCCTCCTCCTCCTCCTCTCCTCCTCCTCCTCCTCCTCCTCCTCCTCCCTCTCCTACCGATGGTAGTGGTGATGGAGCATCGGCCCATCATCTTCTGGAAGCGCGGCCTGAAGACCGGGCGCGGCGCGGAGGTCTTCTGCGTGCTGCGCAGCGCGAGGTGCGAGGAGGGGCGCGTGGAGGTGCGGTTCCGGGTGACCCGAGGCAGCTCCGCCGACGTCGTGCCGCTGCCGGCAGAGGCGCGCCTGCGGGCGGGCGGCGAGGTTCGGCTGCCGACCCGCTTCGAGCCCTCCGCCGTGCCCGAGAGCAACGAGCTTGACGGGCTGGTGGTCTTCGATGCCGTCCCCGAAGGTGTGCCCCTGCACTTCACGTACGGTCCAGGCTTCGGAGAGTTGTTGCTGGAGGAGAGGACGGCTCCGCAGCCGACCAGGGGCGAGGTCGACTTTATGCTCTGGCCCGGGGCACCGGAGCCGCGCTTCGAGCATGTCGAGGTGGCGGTCAAGTTCTACCTTGCCTCCAGGGCGGGGGTCGAGAGCTGGGACGACTTCATCGCGCCCAACCCTGCCGACATCCTGGGGAAGAAGCTGCGGTGGATGCTGGACCACCAGCTGCTCATGGGCCAGACGGGCCACATACGCAGGCGCCTTGCCGAGCTCGCCGACTGCGACGACGTGAATGTCCGCAGCTCGCTCTGGATGAACGGCCGCCTCTTCTGCCATGCGGCCGCCCCGCTGGACGCTCCCGGCTGCGCCCAGCCCGAGAGCTGGCACGAGCGCCTGCCGATGCTGAGCGCCGACCTGGAAGTCGGCTGGTGGTGCCGCTTCGGCGAGCTGCCGGCGGTCCTGAGCGAGCGCCTGTCCTACGTCATCCTCCAGAAGCCGTACTGGCTGTGCCCTCTGAGCGGCAAGGGGGGCGGCCGCGACGCGGACCACGGCGGGCTCCTCTCGCGGGGGGAGCTGCTGGGGCTCGCGGCGGGCTGGCGCAGGTTCCAGTACATCCGGGGCCGAGGCGCCGACGCGCCGGGCTCCGCTCCGCCCTCCCTCGGGAGGGGGCGGGGGAGGCGGAGGCGGAGGAGGGGGGGGGGGAAGAGGGTTCAGGAGGGGGAAAAATCACACACTCACACAGACTCGACGAATCGTCGATCCCCAGGAAAGTATGGGGGAGCGATGGGAGTTGGGCGGGGATGCAAACACCGGGAGAGAAGAGGGGAACATGTGGGGAATCCTTTTACTTGTGTGTATTTTTTTGTGTGTGTCCTGGGGCCCCTTGGAGGGTGGAGGAGGTGAGACGAGGTGGGCAAGCGGCCCGAGGCCAGGCTCGCTCGGGCTGCGCCGGCCTGCCGTCGGAGGCCTCCGAGGAGAGGCCTGCCCGAAGTCGTCGGTGGGGCAGGTCCGGCCCCTCCTCGGCTGCCTCCTCGAGGAGGCTCGCCCTCCTCGCGGCTCGGGCGGCGGGGAGCTCCTCCTCCTCAGAGCCGAGGGCCCTCGGCGCCTCGGCTCGGGAGGCGTCCCCCTCGAGGTGCCCGCCCCCCGGAGCCCACCGTCGGCGCCCACGTCCTGAGCCGAGGAGCTGGAAGCCTATACTCGCTAGGGTTAAGTCGGGCCTGTCCCCCTACAGACTCAGAGGGTGTTTCGACGAAAAATAAAAGAATACACCAAACATAGTCAAACAATTGTCCAAAAATAGTCAGGGGACGATTTGTGTAAAGTATTGTTTGGCCATGTTGGGGTATTTTTGGGGTATGTTTTTTTTGCTCGTCGAAAATCCCCCTGTAGGGGGACAGGCCCGACACAACGCTAGTGCCAGAATCGGCAGCCCTTCGCAAACGCAACTGCCGAGATCGGGACCCCTTCGGGGGGGCCGATGCGCAGGTCCTGCAGGCCTTGCTTGTGAGTCGGCCAGCGGCTCGCCCTGTTCCGACGACGCTGATCGACCGAGCCTGAGGACGCATGCTCGCGGAGGCACGGTCGAAGAAGGGCCCGCGCGGGCTTCTCGCCAGAGAAGAAGGCGCCGCAGGCACAACAACAAATCAAAGACTTGTCGCCGTCGCGGCCCGACCTGGCCGTGACACGCGCGTGCAGCACGCAAAACGGCTCGACATCCTCGGTTGGCTGCTGCGGTGGACCCCCGTCGGCGGCTGTCATATCGGCATGGTGAGGCGCGCCAGACGGTGGCGCCGAGGGAGCGTCTTCCTCCAGGCCCTCTCGGCCCGCAGGGTACTGCTCCAGAAGGTCGGCGTTGTCCTGGCCGACTGCCCCCTCCCCCACGAACCCGTGCAACCGCCCACTCCACCGAGCAGTTTCCCTCGAGGCTTCGCTCTGGCCAGTCGTTGGCCGCGCCCCGCCCGAACAGTTTCGAAATGGGCTTGCAGGGCCCGCGCATCCTTACCGCGCATCCTTCTGATATTGGCCAACTGTGCTCGCTTTGCCCCACTCCGTGGAGGGAAGCACCTTGCTTCGCAAGCCCATCTGCCGCACCTTTTCCTCGCTTCTCCAATGGCGTTGTGTTGTCGTCGCGCACGTCTATGATGCTACAATGAGCCTTGGTCAGATTAATCGAGAGATCGTTGGGCTCGAACGCCGTCCAAAAGGGGCCCACATCTGGGTCCTGGGAATACACGGCCCAGCCCAAGCCCCAGCACCTGTCCAAAGCGTGGAGACGGTTCCCTTTTAATCGGCGGCGAGCGAGGGGGGAAGTGAGCAGGAGGAGGCCTTCTCAGAAGGCGGCGGGGCGTCTTAGAAGCCCTCGCGCATTCTGAGAGGCTGTCTGTGTCTTCGGAGAAGGCCAAGGACACCTCTCAGAAGGCCGGGGGACTTCCGAGCCCTCTGAGAGGGCCTCCTCTTTCTCATTCCCCCCCCCTTCGCTCGCCGCCGATACAGTCAATGTACACAGGTCGTCTGGGGGGCATGGCTTCTCGACAGAGCACGCTCGCAGCGAACGCCTCCGCCTCCCCAGGCGACCGAAAGGTGAGGGAGTCCTCCCCTTGTGACGGGCCCCCGCGTCGACGCTCGCACAGGGCAAGAGGTGCCACGCATCACGACCGACCAAGCGGCTCGACAGAGAGAGAGCGCGACGCGGACAAACAGGGCGCACCCGTCCAGGAGCTTGTTTCCGTCGGCGGCGAGGCAGGGGCAGTCCGCTCCAGCGTGCGGCATGTCGGGGCAACCGCAAAGGGAGACATGGGGCGGGCGTGCAGGAGAGGGGGGTGGCGGACCCGTCCAGGAGCAGCAGGAAGCCCAGGCGGTGGCCCGATGCAGGCCGCCTGACGCCAAACAGATCGTTTGCTGCAGCTCGGGCCCCTGGGCCTGGAGGACGGCGCTGGGGTCGGGGCGGAGCCCCCTCGGCCAAAGACAGGCCTGGACCTCGAGCGCCCTTCGGAGCAGCTTGGGAGACACAGGGTCCCATCTGAGGGCGGCGTGCGCGGAGTCCCATGGAGAAGGGGGTCCAGGCTGGGCCAACAAACCGATGCCGCCTGCGGGCTTAAGAAGGTGAAGGTGGGAGAGGAGGAGGAGGGCGGGGAGGAGGAGGACGAGGATGAGGTGGAGGTGGGAGAGGAGGAGGAGGAGGGCGAGGATGAGGATGAAGGGATGGCGATGGTGTTGTTGCTACTGCTGATGCTGATGCTGCTGCTGATGCCGCTGCTGCTGCTGATGATAAGCATGACGATGATGCGGACGATGATGGTGATGATGGTGATGATGCGATGATGGTCGTCATTGTGATGCTGCTGCTGATGATGATGCTGGTGATGATGAGGATGACGATGATGATGGTGCTGATTAGCATGATGATGCTGATGATGATGATGCTGATGATGATGATGCCGCTGGTGATAAAGGTGATGCTGATGCTGCTGCTGTTGCTGCTGCTGATGGTGACGCTGATGATGCTGGTGCTGGTGCTGATGGTCATGGTGCTGATCCTGATGATGATGATGATGATGATGATGATGATGATGATGATGAATGCTCTGCTGTTGATGCTGCTTATGATGCTGCTGGTGATGCTGATACGGGTTACGATACTGATGTGGATGCTACTGACTATATTGATGATGATTGTGCTGCGGCTGATGATGATGGTGGTGGTGATGTTGATTCTGATGATGATGATGATGATGATGATGATGATGATGATGATGAGGATGACGCTGCTGATGATGCTGATGCTGCTGATGATGATGTATATTCTGACGCTGGCGATACTGATGCTGATACTAATGATTATGCTGGTGGTGATGATGATGACGATGATGATGATGGCGAGGATGATGATGCTGCTGATGATGATGCTGATGATGATGCTGATGATGTCGCTGATGAGGATGAATATGATGATACTGATGATAATCATCATGCTGATGCTGATGCTGATGACGATGGTGTTGGTGGTGGTGCCGATGAGGATGTTGATGCTTATGCTGCTGCTGATGATGCTGACGATGCTGATGATGATTATGATGACGATGATGCTGATGATGATGCTGATGATGATGATGATGCTTATGCTGATGATGCTGATGATGATGATGATGATGATGATGATGGTGATGATGCTGATGATGCTGATGTTGGTTTTTGGAGCGGAGGAGGAGGCGGACGAGGAGGAGGAGAAGGAGGAGGAGGAGGAGGAGAAGGAGGATGAGGAGGAGGAGCAACAGGAACAGCATCAGGAGAGAGAGAGAGATATATAACGACATGCATGAAACAGCACACATACATTTCTGCATTCACATGTATTGAGAGAGAGGGAGAGAAATAGAGAGAAGGAGAGAGTGAGAGAGAGAGAGAGAGGGCGAGAGGAAATCATTCATGGGGAGAGGAGAAGAAGGGGAGCAGGAGCAGGAGAGATAAGGAGGAGGAGGAGGAGGAGGAGAAGGAGAGGAGGAGGAGGAGGAGGAGGAGGAGGAGAGGGAGGAGTGAGGAGGAGAAGGAGAGAAGGATGTGGAGAGGAGGAGGAGGAGGAGGAGGAGGAGGAGGAGGAGGAGGAGGAGGAGGAGGAGGAGGAGGAGGGGGAGGAGGAGGAGGAGGAGTTGGGAGGAGTTGGAGGAGGAGGAGAGGAGGAGGAGGAGGAGGAGGAGGAGGTGGAGGAGAGGGGGAAGAGGGGCAGGAGGAGGGCGAGGGCAATGAGACCATGGAGGCGGAGGGGCAGGAGGATGAGGAGGAGGAGGAGCTTAGAGCTTGCAGTTGAGCTCTCCGCCATTCGGTGCTTGTACCCCGAGGGGGGTGGAGGCCACCCCGTGCAGGGGGCAGCGGCAAGGAGGAGGCGGAGGCAGCAGGCGCAGAGGTACCGTGGAGCAGGGGGCAGCAGACTGCACGGAGCACCACGATCGCCTCCTCGGCCCCGGGGCGTCGCAGCGGTGCTGGTGCGCGAGCCGGGCGGCGCGCACGAGGAGGTCTGCAGGGGCTTCGCCGTGCCAGACGCGTGGCCGAGCAGCCCGCGGTCTCGCAGGGGGAGCAAAAAACAGAGTGCCTCGGGGGGGGGGCCGTGAGGAGCGGCGAGGTGAGGAGGAGGAGGGAAGGGGGAGACGAGGATGGGAGAGGGGCGGATGGAGAAGGGAGGAGGGAGGAGGGAAGGATGAGGATGAGGATGAGGACCATTGGAAATCCAAGACTCATCAACGATGTTGGAAGAGACCCTCCCACTAAACTCTCTCTTATAGGCTCCATACGGGCTTGAATTCCACCGAGGGAACTGCCTCGCTGGGAGAGAACTTTGCAGACCCTGAAGCGTGCCGAAACACCATTCTCGGGACTCCCACGCCACGAATCAACATCCTGAATCTTGCCAGAACACAACTCGTGGGACTTCAACACCGCGATTCATTGTGATTATTGCTCCCTCACAGTCCTGAGCCGTTCCAAAACACCATTTCTGACACGTTGGCTATGTGAATCCGCAGACTTCTTGCAAATCGTTAGGATGAATGTGCGCGGAGTTAGGGCGAGACCCACATGTTGAAAACGAGCCGCCCTCAATCCGTGAAGCGCTCTTGCATTGTTGTATAAACGAATGTGCGCGACGCCAATGCGAGAGCCACATTTCGAACAACCGCCCTCAACCAGTCAAACTTCTGCAACTGCTCACGTAAGACGAGCGTGCGCGGCGCTGAGGCGAGAGCCACATTTTGAAGACGAACCGCCCTCAATTCTTGAACTCCTTGCACCTTCTTAGAACAACTATGCGCGGCCCTTAGGCGAGAAGCACATCTTGCAACCACCCGCCCTCAATGAGTGAAACTTCTGCGAATGTTTAAGGCGAGTGTGCGCGGCGCTAAGCCGACAGCCACCTGTTGACACCGACCGCCCTCAATCCGTTAATCTCGTGCAGTTTTTTAGACCGAATGTGCGCGACGCTAAGGCGAGAAACACATTTTGAAAGTCGCCCGCTCTCCATCTGTGAAGCTGCTGCCAGTTTCTAAGCTTCAGATTCATGAGTGCTGAGGAAGTCTCAGGCGGAACGCCCGGCCTGCCCTTTCGACCGGCCTCGGGGTGCGACAGGGAGGAGTTACTCATAAGGAATGGAATTGGGGATGCGAAGGAAGAGGAGAAGGAGCAGGATGAGGAGGAGGAGGAGGAGGAGGAGGAGGTGGAGGTGGAGGTGAGGGGCGAGGGGGAGGAGGAGGTGGAGGAGGAGGGGAAAGGGGAGGTGGAGGGGGAGGTGGAGGAGGAGGGGGAAGGATGACGGGGGGAGATGAGGAGGGAGGGGTTGAGGAGGGGGTGGACGTCAGGCCCCGCGTCCTTGGCTCTCCTCTTCAAGCGACTCCGTGTGGCGGCAGGTGTCGGGGGATCTTCGATGCCATCGTGCGCAGCCCTCCTGGCATTCGCCATCGGGGAGTGGAGGAACAGCTCGAGCAGCTAAGGGGGAAAATCGCGGATTCGACCGAGCGAGGGAGAGGTGGTCGGGTGCCGGGTTAGAAAAGGAAGTGGGTAAGCAGAGGATGGTGCCAGCGCTCGTATGCGCCTTAGGCTCCTGGCTCCTCCTCTGTCCCGTGCGTTGCCTCGGCACCCAGACCCGTGAATGTGCTTGGGACGTGATTCGGGCTCGTTCTACGTAGCATCATCCCTTCGTGGATCTGCCATCCTTGGCACACTGTTCACCTGGTGCTTGGTCCTCCTCCTCGCGAAGCGCGTGTCCCAAGTCCAGGTTGTTGCCCGATGAGGACCACGAGCGCATATCGGTAGAACGCTCTGAGAAGGCCTCGGTGCCCGAGACATTTTCCAGAGCCGCCGGACCACAGGGATTCTCGATTACTCCTCACCCGAGTTTATTCTCGTCGTGGCTTTGTCTCAGACGTAGTTCCACGCGCCTCCTCGTTGACCCCCCCCTCGTTTCCTCGCCCCTCTGCGATTCTCCTCTTTCTCGTCCGCCGCGGCGGTCTCTCTCGCTGAGGCCTCCAGCCAGAGGGGTGATGATTTTGTGCTGTGCGGTGCAGTGCTGGGACAGAATTTGGGGCGATCGTTATCGACGGAGAGCCCGTGGGGGAAGTGAGAAGGGGGTGGCCTTCTCAGAAGGCTCGGCGGAAGCCCCCCGGCCTTCTGAGGAGTTTTGTCAGCCTTCCCCGACGATGCAGAACACCTTTCTGAAGGCCAGGGGGCTTCTGAGAAGCCCCGCCTCTGCCATCAGGATTGCCAATCTTCCATTGAGGATCCGCCGCTTCCTAGTGAGAGGCCGGGGACGCTCATCAGGATGGGCAATCTTCCATTCAGCACGCGTCAAGGCGTCCAACCTCCTCTTCCTGCCCTGCCTCCTGCCTCCTCCTCCTCCTGCCCTGCCCTCCTCCTGCCTCCTGCCCAGCCTCCCGATTCGGTGCTGGCTGCTCCTGCCTCCTCCCTGCTCCTGCCTCCTGCTCCTGCCTCCTGCTCCTGCCTCCTCCCTGCCTCCTCCTCCTGCTCCAGACCTCCGACGTCATGATTTTCTAATGAAGTCGAGCCCCAGAGGTCTCGACACCTTCCCCGGGACCGGCTTTTCATCCCGAGTCGTCTTTGGACGGTCTCGGGGCCCGGCGGGGGCCCCCAGAGGCCGAAAATGGCGAAAAGCTCCCCGCATTGTTTTCATGGTCAGAGGGGCCTTTGTCGGACGGGGCTAGGACAAGGGTAAATCCGTTCGAGAGCGATCTTGAACGCTTTCACAGCATTCCAGAGCGCTCTGAGACGGCTGTGGCGCTCGAGACATCCTCCAGGGCCGCCAGGATCTCAGAGATTCTCGATTTCTCTTCGCCTGATTTTGAGAGTGAGGGGGCCGAACGGTCATGCACTGCCACTAGGTGCGTGGTTGTAGTGGGATTCCGCGGCCCAGATTCTGCTCGTTGTTGTTGCGTTGTTGTTGTCTGCGTCCCCCCCTCAGACCCATCCGCGACCCACCCGCCACCCACCCGCCACCCACCCGCGACCCACCCGCGACACACCCCGCGACCCACCCCGCGACTCACCCCGCGACCCACCCCGCGACCCACCCCACGACCCACCCCGCGACCCGCACGCGACCCACCCGCGACCCACCCGCGACCCACCAACGGCCCACTCGCGACCCACCCCCCCGCCCACCCGAAACCCCCTCGACCCGGCGCGCGACCCGCCCGCGACCCACCCGCGACACGGCCCGCGACCCACCCGCGACTCCGCCCGCGACCCACCCGCGACCCGCCCGCGACCCCACCCGCGACCCCACCCGCGACCCACCCCGCGACCCATCCGCGACCCATCCGTGACCCACCCGCGACCCACCCGCGACCCACCCACATAGCACCCTGCACTTGCGGATACGAGTGCAGGGACGCGCGTTGGGTGGGTCGTGGGTGGGGGCGCGGGCGGGTCGCGGGTGGGTCGCGCGCCGGGTCGGGGGTCGTGGGTGGGTCGCGGGCGGGTCGCGGGTGGGTGGCGGGTGGGTCGCGGGTTGGTCGGGGTGGGTCGCGGGTGGGTCGCGAGCGGGTTGCGCGGTGGGTCGCAGGTGGGTCGCGTGCGTGTCGCTTGTGGGTCGCGGGTGGGTCGTGGGCGGGTCGCGGGCGGGACGATGACAACAAACAACGAACAACGAACAACGAACAACGAACAACGAACAACAACAATAACAACAACAACAACACCAACAACAACATCAACACCAACAACAACAACAACACCAACAACAACAACAACAACAACGAACAACGAACAACGAACAACGAACAACAACAACAACAACAACAACAACACCAACAACAACAACAACAACAACAGCAACCACAACAACAACAATCCGCTTTGCGGAAGCCCACTACAGCCACGCGCCCAGGGTCAGTGAATGATCGTTTGAACTTTTCAGTCTGATACTTTGTGAAATTGTCGCCTGCCGCGGGCTTCCTCAGAGCCTCGCAGACTGCCGACGTCCCCGCCGCCCCTCACCCTTATCCGCAACTGCGGGGTGCCACATACATACATATATATATACATATATATATATATATATGCATAGATGTAAGCATATATACATGTAATTCTACATATACACACATATCCTTGTCCCGGTTTTGTCTTATCTGGGTTTTTTTGCGCCTCCGACCGCTGCACCTCCGCGGCGCTCCGTGCCCGCGCAGGGGCCCAGGCCCGCCGGGCCCTCCCTCCCTCGCCGCGCGCCCGGGCGGCCCCCGGGGGCGCTCCGCTTCGGCGGCGCCCCCACGGTCGCGCCGCCAAGCCAGGCGGGGCCTTCGGCGGCGACCCGCAGCTGAAGGCCGCGCGGTTCGGCAGCAATGCATGGGACAAGTTCGCCCTCGAGGGCGCGAAGCTATTCGCGCTTCGCGGTTCGGCTCCGATTCTTTCGCATCCTCCTCTTTTCCTCTGGGGGTCGGCGCAAGAGCGCAAAGTTATTCGTGCTTCGCGCAGCGCGAAGCGCGAAGTTTGGCGCCCTTGTGGGAGCCCCGTGTACCCTCGTAGTTCCGCCTTTGTAGTGCGTCAGCGAACATTGGCGTCTAGCAGTCGATGCGATAGCGCCGATGTTGCGTCGATCAGCGTCGATTTCGCTTTGTTTTGTTGTTCTGTTCCTGCGGTTCTCGTTCGCGCCGTTTTCTGTTCGGTTCCGTTGTGTACTGCCTTCTTTATGTTTTTCGTTGCTTTTGGTTTCCAATATGTGATTGGCCGAGATCCGATTCGTTGAAAACGGGGAGACACCAGAAACGCCCCCAGCCTTTTTGACATCAGCGAAGGTGGGCCGGGCCCTGGCGCCACGACGGATGGTTTTGGCAGTTTTCGGCCTTCAGAAGGATCACTCAGCGCCGAATAAGCAAATCGGATTATTTCGGGATGTGCATCGGGTCGGGCTGCATCGGCACGGGGTCGAAAACGAATCGGATCGGCTGCATCAGGATGCACAACAGCGCCATGCAAGCATCGGGCCGCATCGGATCGTCGGAATGTCGGAATCGATTCGGATCGGGCTTGCTAGAATCGACATCGATTCGGATAGACCTGATCGAAGTTGACCCTGCCTATGTGCGACGGCCCTGCAATGGCGACGCTCACGGTAATATATCTTGACGCGCAAGCCCTGTGACGAGCGTTTTTTGGCCATGACGCTCGGGAAGGAGTATACTGTAAGACTTGTGCACTAGATGTTCGTGACTGACGTGCGCCTCCAACGTAGGTCCTTCTGCGCCCCATCTGGGGGCCCTCGCCGGGCCCCGGGACCATGCAGAAACGAGTCAGGATGAAAAGCTCATCCGGGGAATTCGTGGAAACGCATCGCCCGCCCATGGTTGGTAGGGGGCCGGCAGCCCACGCCCAGGAACATGCGGATGTGATATCGGGGCCCTACCGCTGATGTGTCGGCAACGTGTCGCCGATCCAGATTGGATGTTCCCCCCCTGATCCAGTGCAGCCCTGACGTTGTCTCTCACTGGAGCGCGGGGGCGGGTAACAGGCTGTGGATCAGAGGCGCAAGACGTCAGTATTGGTTGTTTACCTATCCTCATCCCCACTGAGCCATGGCATCTCAACCCACCATCTCACAACCCCAGGTGGTTATAAGCCCCTCAAGACACGAAGGGACAAACTTAACTGCGAAGGGTCTTTAAATGCCAACGGGGATCCTTCTCAAGCTTTCAGCAGTCCATTGTACTCGTCCTCCCCTCCTCGTGTTTCTTCTCATCCTCATCATCATCTTCAACCTCATCATCCTCATCCTCATCATCGTCATCATCATCACCGCCACCATCATCACCACCATCATCACAACCACCATGATCATCGTCATCATCATCATCATCATCATCATCCACATCATCACCAGCATCATCATGATCATGCGGCAAACTGTAGCAATTGGGGCTGGGAGGGTTCAAGACCCTTGGCGGTTATGTTCCAATGAAGGGCGGTAAATCGGCCAAGGGGGCCCAGGCCACGCCGGCAGAGACATTGATCGGTCATACGATGCTGAAGACGTCATGATAATAACCGGTGCTATGATTCGTGAGACCTTCTGTTGTTCTGCGCGGGTTCCAGACACAATGGCCGCCAGATGCGTTGGAACGTGTGGATTCTATCCTGAGCCCATCGCATCATGACATCGTTCCCGTCCTCGTGAAGGGCAGGTTCTGTGAAGCTCCCGGAGGCAGAGAGGGCGGTGGCTGCGTAATTGGCCAGGCGGATTGGAAAGCCGTGTGGTGTCCTGAAGGGCTTGTCGACTTGTCGCCAATCGACTGATGGCGATCGGGCCAGATAGATCAAGGTAAATACATATGAATCGGGGTACATGCAGGTCAACCCTGGCTGATCCAAGTAAATCCAGAGATCTCAAGGGATTTCGACGCAAAGCGTGACCGCTTCAGCGCGAGTCCCGAAGTCGTTGAGCCTTTACGCTGGTGGGGAGGATAATGAGGCCTGGGAATGGGGGTGAAGCTGAGCACCTGCTAGTGCGATTGGCGATCGGCTTCGAGGGCTCCTCGTGCCGTCCACATCTCTTTAGCGTTGCCCTGGAATGCGCAGCTTGGACTGCCCTTGAGCGCCTCTGAGCAGCCCAGTGAATATTGTTTGCAGCTGCTGCTCCACTCTGAGGGCCCTGGCCTTCGCACTGGAAGATCCCCTCGGCTTTCCCGTGGCTGTCCACGTATCCGATGGGCTGCGCCCTCGGCCGCAGGCCCCCAAGGGTGGATCTACGTTTGGCGCCGTCCCGGGGCCCGTCGGAGGCACCCTCGGGGCCCGCGGGGCCCCTGCTCGGGCCACCCGTGGGCCATCCGGGGGGCCACCGGGAGGCCTCTGGCAGTGCCGCTCGGAGATCGAGGCGATGCGACGCCCGACTCGGGCGACGGGGAGCGGGTCTCGGCGCACCCGGAGGCGACGGGTGGGCGGGGGGAGGGTGTCAGATGCGGCGGGGGCGCACCCGATCATTTGGCCTCTCTCCTCGCTCGATCCTCCGTCCCCCTCCCCAGTACCCTCTCGTCCCTGCTCCCTCCTCCCCCTCCTTCCCCTCCTCCTCCTCCTGCTCCCCCCATCCCCCACGCCTACCCACTCCCCGTCTTTCCCCCTCTCTTACGTGCTTCCCCTCCCTCCCTCCATCTCCCGTGCTCGCCCCCCTCCTTGTCCTCCTCGCCCATTCTCTCACCCGCCCCTCCTCCTCCTCCTCCTCCTCCTCCTCCTCCTCCTCCTCCTCCTCCTCCTCCTCCTCCTCCTCCTCCCCCTCCCCTCCCCCTCCCCCTCCTCCTCCTTCTCCTCCTCCTCCTCCTCCTCCTTCTCCTCGTCCTCCTCCCCCTCTTCCTCCTCCTCCTCCTCCTCCTCCTCCTCCTCCTCCTCCTCCTCCTCCTCTTCCTCCTCCTCCTTCCCCTCCCCCTCGTCTCCTCCTCCTCCTCCTCCTCCTCTTCCTTCTCCTCCTCCTCCTCCTCCTCGGGTCGCCTACGGCCCTGTGGGAACCCTTTTTCATCCTTGCCTCCTCGGCCCATCCTTGGCATCTTTCGTTGGCCGCGCCTCGCTCGAAAAGCTTTGATAATGGGCGTCAAAGGCCCTTGCATCCTCATCGGGCCGACAGTGGGCCTCCTGGATGGGGTCGGAGTAGATGAGGTTTGAGGATCGCGCCGCATCACCGATGCGTCGCCGATGCGGCTCGATGTGCAGCCCGATATGCTCCACGTCGACGTCGCCGATGCATCGCAGACCTTCGAAGATGCATCGCTGGTGCACTGCCGCTGCATCGCCGATGCATCGCCGATGTATCGGCGATGCGGCGCGATCCTCCGACCCCATCGACTCCGACCCCGTCTAGGAGGCCTCCAGTTCCCCGCTGCCTCTCCCCCCCCCCTCCTCGCCCCCTTCCTCACCCCAGTCCCTCTCCCGCTCCCCCCTCCTAACCCCCCTCCCCCTCCCTCTCCCTGCCTTTCTCCCCCCGTCTCCCCCCTCCCCCTCGCTCCCTCCTTCTCCCTCTCCCTCTACCCCTTCCTCTCCCCCCCCCCCTCGCCCCCCTCCTTCTGCCTCGCTGGCCCTTTCGCCCCGAGGCCCTGGTGCAGTGGCTGTCCGCGTCGTCCGCGGGTCGGGAGCTGGTCTACTTTCCCTTCGGCTGGGCATGGGGGGGGAGTGGGGGCCATGACCTTCCAGGAGAGCTACAAAATAGCACCAGGACCTCGACATCTGCATTCCTGTGGGGTTTTTGTAGGCCGCCCAGATAGGTCTGGAGGGTTATTGTTTAACACTCTGGACGGTCAGGGAAAGCGGATGCTCTCCTCCTCCTGTTCCCCCCCTCCTCCTCCTCCTCCTCCTCCTCCTCCTCCTGTTCCCCTCCTCCTCCTCCTCCTCCTCCTCTTCTTCTTCTCTTCCTCCTCTTCTTCCTCTTCCTCCTCCTCCTCCTCCTCCCCCTCCTCCTCCTGTGCCAAGAATCACCCTGCTTGCCTCCAGGGTGCCCTTGGTTTCTTGGGTTTCGATGGCTTTGACGTTCCCACAGCAAGAATCAATGGACGTCCTGGGGTCCCAGGGTTGGGTTTCTTGTGGAAGGTTTCCTGTGGTCGGGCCCCTGTTGTAACTCCGTTCCAGAGCGTTCTGGAACGCTCTCAGAGCGTTCCGGAACGCTCTGAGAAGGCCGCGACGCCCGATACCATCCTCCAGAGCCGCCAGATCTCGGAGATGTCCGACTTCTCTTTATTTGAGGGAGTTTCTGTGGAACTACCGTCATCCTCACCCCCGGCGCGGTGCCCAGAGGAGCCGAGAGCGGCCTCCGGCACCGTTTCCGGACAGATCCGCTGGATCCGGTGACGAATCCCAAACCGGCGCCCTCGCTTGAGACATCCTCACAAAACCGGCCCCGGGGGAGGTGCCCAGAGGAGCCCAGAGCGGCCTCCGGCACCGTTTCCGGACAGATCCGCTGGATCCGGTGACGAATCCCAAACCGGCGCCCTCGCTTGAGACATCCTCACAAAACCGGCCCCGGGGGAGGTGCCCAGAGGAGCCCAGAGCGGCCTCCGGCACCGTTTCCGGACAGATCCGCTGGATCCGGTGACGAATCCCAAACCGGCGCCCTCGCTTGAGACATCCTCACAAAAACCGCCCCGGGGGCGGTGCCCAGAGGACCCAGAGGCTCGAGATCTTGTTAAAAAACAAATGGTCTTGATATTTAACACAGATTGCCCAATGAACGCAAGCTTTTGGGTATGAATAACAAGAGATCCTTGTTATCCGTCACTGTTTTCATGCAATTTCATTGTTTTTTGACGCCGCGGGCATTGATATATCAAGAATTTCTTGATAATCACAAAAACAAGACATTTCCATGCCAATCATCTTGTTTTTTGAACGTGGCCCATGGAGCGAGCGCCGCGCGACGGTTTCCCCCAGAAGGTCTCCGCACATGCGCACGCGCGGATACGACGTTGCGAACGCAATCATCACTAGTTCTCCCGCCACCACACACGCACACGCACACACGGGCCCACCCTTCATGACCCACCCGCTCCCCCGCACCACCACCACCACGATCAACACCACTACCACCACCAACACCACCACGACCACCACCACCACCACCACCACTCACACGCACACGCATGCACGCACCTTTTCTCTTCCACATCCCCACTACGCTCCTCGTCCTGGAGGGGGTGCGCGGAAGGAGGGGGGGGAAGGTCGATCGTTATGGTGGTGGTGAGCGTGCTGCGTGCATGCGTGTGCGTGGCGTGTGTGTGTGTGTGGCTGGTGTTATATAGTGGTGGTGTGGTGGTGCTGATGGTAGTAGCGGTAGCGGTGGTCGGGGTGGTGGGTGGTGGGTGGTGGTTGTGGTGGTTGTGGTGGTTGTGGTGGTTGTGGTGGTTGTGGTGGTTGTGGTGGCCGCCTCCCCCACCACCGCCAACACCTCCACCTCACACACCGCCACCGCCGCAACTACTACCCACTACCCCACCATCACCCCCCCCCGCCACGCACCTCGCGTACACGCACACACACACAAACACACACGTGTGCGCACACATACACACACACACACACACCGCCGCCCCTCCCCCCTCCCGCCCTCATCCCCCCTCCTCCACCCTCCCTCCACACCCCCCCTCGCCCCCACCCGCACCATCACCGCTACCACCACCGCCGTAGGCACGCCGCAACCACCGTCACCACCACCATCCCCGCTACCACCACCAACCCCTCCGCCACCATCACCGCCACCGCCATTACCAACACGTACCATAACCTTTGCCACAACCACCCCGCCCCCGCGCACACGCACACGCACGCACGCGCACACGCCACAACCGCCACCACAATCACCGCCACACACACGCACCACACATCACACACGCACGTGCACATACACACACACACACCCACCACCCACCACCACCACAACCACCATTACCACCACCACCGCCACGCCACCGCCCACCACCACCAATGCCTTTTACCCGCCACTCACCACCACCCACCACCTACCGCCGCCCACCACCCACCGCCACCCACCACCCACCACCCACCACCCGCACCACGACCACGACCACGACCACGACGACCACCATCACCACCACGGCGACCACCGCCACCACCACTCACCACCACAAATGCGGCGGCGGAGGCGGAGGGGAGGGTGACTGGTGTTGGAGGAGGGGGTTTAAGGACGGATGTGTGTTGCGGAGAAAGGGGGATGAAGACACGGGGAGGGCCGAACTTCCTTTTATATAATTAGAACCGTGTGTGGGCGACAAAGACAAACAACAAAAACACACGCCAGCGCAACCGCCACATCCGTGTAGCCATAGCCGTTTTGGCACGATGCTAGCCCGATCGCGTATGCGATCATATGTCTCCGTCCTTGTGATCTGCACATTCATGCCGACTTGCAAAAGCTTGAAATTGGACGATCAAGTTGTGTTTCAGGCGTTGAGTAACAATGTTCCGTTGGCGCAGTGCAAGCCCCGTGAGCTCTGGAATGTCGGAAAGAGAAACAAGGATGGGAGTGCGTCGAATTGGGCTTCTATGTTGAAGTCGCGTTCGTTGCTGTCTGATTTGCTGGACGAGACCCGCGGGGCCCAACTTAAGCAGCGGCCGTTCGCGGTGCAGGTGGACAAATGGCTTCGCCAGCAGGAGCCCCCTATGGAGTGGTTATACGTTGGCGTTGAAAGAGCGGTTGACAACCTTCGGTGCCAGATGCGCTCACTGAGAGCATTGAGGGCCAAACCGCCGCACAAGGCACCGAAATCATTCCCGCAACTTCAGACGCTGCTAGATAAGATCCAGATCACGGTTGACGAGCCCCAGGCTGCACCCGTCCCTCGCGATGCCTCGCCTTCGGACTCAGACTCGCCAGAAGAGGTGCCCATCAAGCGGAAGTTGGTCCCACATATTTCTCTTGGCTCTAGCATTGATGAAGCGCCCACCTCGCATTCGACCTTGGACGTCCCGAAAGCAGAAACCCAAGAAGAATTTGACGACCTGGAACGGAATCTGTTCTCTGGATCGCCATCGGGGGCACCGCCACCTGCGGCGGCAACAGTAGCGGCCAAGCGTCAGGAAGCTTCATCCGAGGGGTTCTTAGCAGCCGTCTATTCGTCGGGGTCCGCTGGGCTATCAGAAGGCAGCGTCGGGCCCCTCCCTGCTGACTTCGCCGAGCTGAACAGGGACAAGAAACGGAAGCCCCCAATGATGAGGAGGCCAGCTTGCGCAAAACGTCCTGCTGCTGATGGTGGTCCTGCTGCTGCTGCTGCTGATGGTGGAACACACGCAGATCTACCAGCATCGCCTCCAGACGTGCAGGAATCAGGCGAGCAGCGGTTGTATTACCATTGGGATGGTCGTGAGCCCAGCGCCAAGACTATGATAAACAGGGCGAGGTCCAAGGCCTACCACGATGAGATGGACCGCTGCAGGGCTGCAAAGATGGCCGAGGACGCTTGCAAAGACCGAGCTCGAGAAGCAGGCCGTGCAGCGGTAAATCGCTGGGCTTCCCATTACAAGCGTTTCCTTGACGATTGATCTGAATGGGTTTGCACACTCGTGGATTGGATCTGAGTTGGTCAACTTACACAGTCGTTTGGTGGCTGTACTTACGTGTTGCAAGTTGTTGATGGTTTTGCGATTGCTCGCCGTTAGCTAGCACCCTTCGTATGCGATGCATAGCGGTGGGGATGTGCCCCGCGAGGAAAAATCCACAGATGGGGAAGGTGAGGGAGACGGGAGGGGGAAAATCACAGGGAGAGGGGCGAGGGGAGGAGGCATCGACCCCACGGGGTGGGGGGAGGCGGAAGGCGAGGAGGACGGGAGGAGGAGGAGGAGAAGGAGAAGGAGGAGGAGGAGGAGGAGGAGGAGGAGGAGGAGGAGGAGGAGGAGGAGGAGGTTATTTCTAACCCCCTTTGAAAAAAACATGTGCGATCGGGGGTGGAGTGGGGAGGGGGGGGGGGGAGGGGGGGGGGGGGAGGAGGAGGAGGGGGGGGGGGGGGGAGGAGGAGGAGGATGTTATTTCTAACCCCCTTGAAAATAACATGTGGATCGTCGGGGGGGAGGGTGGGGGGGGGGGGGGGGGGGGGTGGAGGAGGAGGGGAGGGGGAGGATGTTAGTTCTAACCCCCTTTGAAATAAACATGTGTGATCGGGGGAGGCGGGGTGGTGGTTGGTGGTCGAGTGGTGGGTGGTGGTGGGGGGAGGGGGGGGGGGGGGGGGGGGGGGGGCGGGGATAGGGGAGGTGGGGAAGAGGAGGAGGAGGGGGAGGCGGATGAGGAGGAGAGGTTAGACTCAAGCGAGGGGGGAGAATGGAGGGGGGAGTGAGGAGGGAGATGAGAGGCAATTAATGTGATGGAAGAGAAGCCAGCAAATGGATTGGCGATTGTAGGCGATCTCCTGGTCCTCCTCCTCCTCCTTCCCCCGATCACGCATGTTATTTCAAAGGGGGTTAGAAATGACATCCTCCTCCTCCTCATCCCCCTCCTCCTCCTCCTCCTCCTCCTCCTCCCCCTCCTCCTCCTCCTCCTGAATTTTGAAACTTGCCGACGACCTCGACAAAATCGCTCTGGCTGGTGAGGGAAGCAGTTTCGGGGAGTTCATGGCTAAACTTCGGTCGGTCGACGACTCCCTGGACGCTCGTCTTGTTCCCTTCGGGTACGGACAACAGGCCAGCAAGCAAGAGTTTATATTTCACTTCAGCCAGAACGGTCACACTTGCCGCCGCCTACTTCGTTCTACCAAGCCACTGCAGGGTGCGTGCAAGGATGAGGCGAGGCACCTGGGACCCCATATTGTATTAAGAGATTATGCGGCTCATGGAATCACTCGTCGGCTTCAGGCTTCGCGTGTCGCATCCCACAGCCTGGGGGGTATTTGGTCACTTCGCCTCCCTTATCGGTGGAAACGTCTGTTACTGATGGGCTTTGGTCAGAATGCCTTACTTAGCGGACTAGAGGCCTTGGTACTATCGGCTAACGATTACATTTGTCTTGACAGGGGGTTTGCTCCTCTTGGCCGCATCGCTATGATGGGAAAGGTATCGACGGCGACGGGGGTTGCGCAGGCCAGATCATCTGACCATGTCAGGAGCTTGACTTCGGAGCAGGTGCTGGCGCACTGGCGTCTTACCCCCAGTGTGATCGAGCTTCGGACGAGGAGACTAGGGATGTACCAGTCGTGGGCGAAGGACCCAGCCCGCAACTCCCAGGTCTTGTGCTGCCTGTTCGGTTTTACTCCCATGGACATCGATCGTCCGCAAGGGGGGTCTCGGGGGATCTTGGGGGATGCCGAGAAGGCCTCGGAGTTTGTCGCGTTGGATTTCCCTGAGCTCAGGGCTAGGGTCTACTCTATGCATATACCGCCACCTGGAGGAGGAGGAAATGGACAAGGAGATGGCACCAATATGGACATGTTCTTAAATATTTTAGACCATGTAAAGATATCAACCCAGAACAATGAGGACACAACAACGAAAAAACGACGCGCGACCACCCGTAGCGCCATGTTGGCCCAAAGCAGTTTGGTGTTCAGCGAATTGCAACATCAGAACGTGATGCCACGTACCCGAGAGTTCGCGCCGTTCAGCGGCACCCCGCATAGAGTTGGGCCCGACCCATGCGTCTCAGCAGCCAGCAGCTCCGAGGTAGTGATTATCGACGAACCAGCAGATGCCGACAGCTTCATCGAAATTACCGACTCGCTCGGGACCGATCTCCAGCTGTGTGGCAACACCGACGAGCTCGATAACTATTTTGTTGGTAACATGGTGGGATGCGCCAAGGCCATTGAGGGCATGGTGACGGTGGCAGCAGCTTGGTGCGTGCGCATCCCCAACCGTCGTTACACGGATGGCCTGCGTATCAACATCGAGGACTTCATCGAGCAGGCCGTCACCAAGAAGAGCTACATCGAGAACAAGGTATCCATGGTATCGGCTCGCAGGGTTCCCGTCAGCGTCTTCGAGGAGGGCGAGGTTCGAGATGTTTGCCAGAGCGTATCAGGTTTCAAGACGACGTGGGCTTCCTTGAAGAGCGAGTTTGACAAGGTCAAAGACGGCGACTCGGACGCGGCTTTGGACACCAGCAAGGACGCTCCGCTCACCAAGCGCACGAAGCAGAGCTGAGTGCATGTAGATATCGGAACGCTCCGCATTTTCAGGCCAGCCTGCTGGGAGTTGCGATCAGGCACGCCTGAGAGAGTCGAGTGATGAAAGGTGCCCGGAAGGGGCGCAGGTTCGCCTTGGGGTGCCCGGAAGAGGTGGCGTCAAGAATGCAAAAATGCAAAACTGCATTTTTGCATTTTTTGCATTTTTGTAAAAGGAATCATTCAGAGCAAAAATGCAAAAATGCAAAAATGCAAAAATACATTTGCATTTTTTGCATTTTTGACACCACCCCTTCCAGACACCCCGTGGTGTCAATGTGAACAGACCGACTCGACGTGCAGATCTGCGCGCTTGAGACGACGGATTCGTCGCTGACCTCCTGCTCCCACCCAGGGCTTCCCCTCGGCCCCCTAGAACTCTTCCAACTACCGCTCCCTCCACCCAGGGCTTCCCCTCGGCCCCTTTGACTCCTCCAGCTACCCCCTGCCCCTCCAGCTCTCCCCCTGACACAACACCAATGCCTCCAAATATCCGTAGCCATTTGTGCTCAAGCTTCGGGCAAGCGTCTTCTCCTTCAGCTTCGGGCGAGATGCCGAAGAAACTCCCGCCCGCGACGCTCAGCGATACCAAGCCTTCTGCCGATGAGGTCGAGAAGGCGAAGAAACTCTTAGATGGGCTGTCCAGGGCCGAGAGACGCTCTCGCGAGGGTAGCCTCGCCAATTTCCTCGAGAACAACCCAGATGCCAAGGTGAGGAACGCGGTTGGCCAGGACAAGGAGAGGCACCTCATCTGGTTCATGGCGCGCCAGGCGAAGGCGAAGGAGGGCGAGAAGCAGACGGTGGCGACTCGCGAGGTGCTCACCGACAAGGGCAAGGGCGTTACCCACTACTGGTGGTCGGAGAAGAATATGAACGACGAGATGGGTGAGAGAAAGGCGACTGCGTGGAGGGCTTCTGGCAAGGTCACCTGGAGGCCCGACCCGATCACTGGACTTGGCGAGAAGGAGGAGGACTTCGAGCATCGCGACTGGAAGATCCCCGTGGAGTGGGAGACCATGGACGAGCACGACATCAACAAACTGATGGCGAGTGTCAGCAGGGAGATGGCCGATGGCGACGATGAGCTCATTGCGGAAGCTTCGACCATGGGCGTGGCAAGCTCCTCGAGCACTCAGGTGCCAGTCAAGGTAGAGCCGGAGTCGGAGCTTGAGGTGCTACGCGGGAGGTGTGAGGAGATTAAGTCTACGCCAGACGTCTTCCTGAGGACTTACCAGGACAATAAGACGCAGCTGGACAAGATCCAAAAGGTGGTGAGCGCCAAGACCAAGGCCGACAAATACGCGGCCTTCTTGGACACAGACCTGTCCAAGACCTTGAAGAAAGTCGTTCGCACCGTGTCAATCTTGGAGAAGATGATCAAGGACGAGCCAGACGATGCTGGCATCCCCCAGCTGGTGGGGACGATCGACGCAATCGACAAGGAGTTCGACGACCTGAAAGGGTGGGCCGTGAAGCTCGGCTATTACCAGCCCGACGGCACAGGTAGGAGGAAGCGCGCCAAGACGTCTAGCTGAGAGGTTGGCTAGCCGCGCCTTTTCGGCATTCAGTGCGACGCAGCTCTCGACTGCCCGCCCTCCTCTGCCAACTCTCCGAGTCTACCCAGTCCGTGAAAGGTCTTTCTCCTACCCCCGCTTTGCCAGAGGTTCAGTCGATGACGCACTGCGCGCTGCGAGGTCCGCCAGCGCGTTGTAGGGTAAGCCGCAACAAGACGTGGCGCCGCAGTCGTGAGAAAGATCGAGTGGGGCTCGAGATCCAAACCCATTTGCAAAATAGCATCGTATTTATCGTCGGCGTGATCCCCAAATTCTTAGGTGCCACCCCCCGAGCGCTAAGAACGGCCAAGAGGGCTTCCCGAACACTCCTCTCGCTCATATGTTCCTCATCTCGTCCTCCGCCCCCTTCCCTCTTTCCCCGCGCTTCCTCCTCCTCGTCCACCTCCTCCTGATCCTCCTTCCCCTCCATTTTCAAGCTCCGTATCGCTCAGCCGTCTTCGAAATTAGCGTCGCTCAACCTTCTCCGACATGCTTCGAACCCTCGCTGGCGCATGATGAAGTGCGCTCCTCGCTCGCACGGCGGCCCTGCTGAGGCCCCGCGCAACATGCGCCCCGATGTCAAGCGCACGGGACACAGCCGAACAGAGACAAGACCCATGGCGTGATCATCCTTGCCCTCCCCCTCCCTCCTCCTGCCCCTGGATCCGCGGCCGTTTTGGCTCAAGCTTCGTGCCGGGTTCTACATGTCAGGGAGTTTTTTTATTACTCTACATTTTGTTGCATGTGGTTGATGGCGTTGGCTTGAAAAGGCGATTGGCTGAACATGCACAGCCCCCCGAAGGCGACGAGTCAGGCCTGCAAGCAGATCCCAGCTACCGCAGGAGCGGTGGGCATCGGCAGAGGATACTGGAGGCTGTATCAGACGAGACTGTGGCGATTCCAGGTTAGTGTTTTTCAGCAGAGCCACGGCCCCCTCTCAACAGAGCTTCGAAATCAAGATGGGCGAAAGGTAAGCTCAGCTCGAAATGCGTGCAAGAGATCTCGATGGGAGCCGCAAAACAAGGCGCCGACGGCTGCGACAGGATGGCCAACATGGGCACTGCAGGCCGACACGCCCGGAACATTTTCAGATTTATGCGATCTGCTCTGGGCTTGCCTCGTGGGGCACCCGAAATGGATTGGTTTGAGATGCCGACGCGCAGCTCCAGGAAGACCCCGCATCCTTTCCTGCTTCCCCACAAGTTCTTCTCGAGCTTCTTTTCGGAATGCCCTGAAACATCGAAAGCGAAAATGTCTGGGCCTCCAGGGGCTTGTCGCCAATTTTGGATCGGGATGCGAGGTAGTGCGTTCCTGCGTCATCATCCGTGTCTGCCTGAAGCGAGTTGGCCCCGCTCTATTCCGATCGGCATGCGCGCGGACGCTGGGGCGTTCTCGGCACAAGACTCTTTGTACACGATAAGTTGGAGCTCGTTATTAGGTGGTGGCCCGACAGTGCGCAAACGCTTTATGTTCACAGCATTGAGAAAGAATGATATGGTTGCAGATTCCTTGGGTTGTGCACTCAAAATACTTGCATGGTCAATGAATGCACTATCAACTGGCAAACATCCTACCCACGACCCTTGGGGTCGAGCAGTACTCCAGTCTGGAGGCCAGTTCGCAGGAGAGTGGCGAGCTTTGTTGTGCCAGTGTCGGGGCGATTGGGCGTTCTTCAAGGAGTGTTATTATTTCCCACAATGGAACGCTGCAGAAAGAATGTGTTTCGTGTGCCGTGCATCATCGACTATCAGGCCTCTGTCTTGGACAAATTGTAATGCTGATGCCCCTTGGCGCAATGCAATTTGGACACATGAGGGTTACGTGCATTTTTTGAGAGAGTCTGGTCTTGCAGTTCCTGTCCTGCTCAGCCAAGCGATTGGCATGAGACTGGAGTGCATAA